GGGGGCAGCACCGGCACCATCAGTAATGATCGCACGCACCTGTGATGTTTCCAGGACCAGCACCACGAGTCGCATCTGGCCACGTGTGGTGCCCTTCACCACCTTGTAGTGCGGAGCGAAGTGCGCTCTGCATGGCAACGAGGGCGCGGGAAGGGGAGTGTGCGTGAGGAAAGGAGAGAGCATGAAAAAACGACTTTTGAGGTGCCTCAAAGGCATCTGGCCACGTGGAGTGCCCTTTACCACCTTGTAGTGCGGGGCGAAGTGTGCTCTGCACGGCAACGAGGGCGTGAGAGGAGAGGAGTGTGCGTGAGGAAAGGAGAGAGCATGAAAAAACGACTTTTGAGGTGCCTCGAGAGTCGTCTGGCCACATGTTGTGCCCTTGACTACCTTGTAGTGCTCGCAGGGGCATGAGAAGAGGAGTGTGCGTGCGTGAGTAAACAGGGGAGTGAGAAAAGGGGTGTGGGGAAATAAGCGAGCGTGAGAAAACGAGGGAGTGAGGAAGCGAGTGATTGATGAAAAATAAGTAGACTGTTGAAGGGGTGGTTACAGAGAAAAAAGGCATTCACCTAAGCACACTTGACACTTACTTAATATCAGGACTCGCACTTACTTTATAGCAGCAACCCAGTCTTCCATGCAGGTGGCATAGCCAGAACGAGGCTGATACTCGCACTCCTGGTTCGAGAGGGAGATAGAAGATACAGCATCAGAGAGACTTTTGAGTCAATACAAAAGCTGCCTCTGATAGTCGAATTCCTGGTTGGGAAGGGAGAGAGGAGATACAGCAGAGTGTGTGGCATTTACAAAGCCAAGCCAGGCCAAGCAGCAAGGTGAGGAGGTGAAGTGGAGAGGACAGGAAAAGGTGGAGACTGACTTGATACGTGAGAGGGACGGAAAGACCAGGAAGCAGGAAAGAGGTCGACACGAATGCGTGCAGCCTATGCGTGGGACGAGAAGCGAACGGACCTGAGAGCCGATGGCGATGAGCTCGTATTCCGTGCCCTCGGCCAGCCACGGGGCAGGAGGGTGGAAATCCGCGGAGCTGCTAGAGATCCAGCCTACAGAAGCGGGGAGATGGGACTGACCTGAGAGCCGATGGCGATGAGCTCGTGGTCCGTGCCCTTGGGGAGCCAGGGGGAGAGGTCGTCAGGCTGCATGGGGTATGGGTCATGGGGCATGGGGCATGGGGTATGGATCATGGGGCATGGGGCATGGGGCATGGGGCATGGGGCATGGGCCATGGGGCATGGCGCATGGGGCATGGGGCAAGTGGCACGGCATGTGCATGCACATGCCCACACACATATGTGAGATGGACGCATGCACGCACATGCACATGCACATGCGCATGCACATGCACATGCGCATGCACATGCAACACATTGTCATCCACTTGGATGGACATTCACGTGCAGAGCCCACATTCCCGTCTCAGAGACGCAACCCACCATCCACCACTCCTCAAAACTCCTCGTATCCCCTATCCCCTTTGTACCAGGGGTGCATTCTCCACATTCCCGACTCAGACTCAGCCCATCATCCACCACTCCCCAAAACTCCTTCTATCCCCTATCCTTTCCCCATCGTACCGGGGGTGCATTGCCCACGTTCCACGACCCAATGAACAGCTTGATGGGCTGCTGTGGCGGCGCTCTTGCTGCCACCACGTGCAGCAGCACCTGGGGGCGGGGGAAGAGAAGGGGGGGTTACAGGGCACGAGGCGGGATTTGGGGTATAGGGCGAGTCTAACAGCATGGGATGGATTGCTCAGCCCGGACTCGTCTGGCCATAGGCTTGATGGGCTGCTGTGCCGGTGCCCGCGCTGCCACCACGTGCAGCACCTGGGGCTGTGGGGTGGGGGGGGAGGGGAGGGGGGAGGGAGGGTATAGGGCAGGAGGGAGGCACGTGAGGTAAGGAGGGGGACATGGGTGTTGAGAACCCAGTGAGAAGGTTGCGTGTAAGCTGCTCGAGAAGTTTGGCCCTGACATGATCTCACTCAAATGGTCCTTCATTGATTCAAACAGGTATAGGTGAGAGTTTAGATATGCTTATAGCTGCTAGCATCAAACAACCTCTACTCCTAAACCTGTTTCTCATTATCTCATTCTCTCGTATCTACTCTAATTCATATTTTCTTTTCCACACCTTCCCCTTCTCTTCCCTTTCTAACATTGGAAATGACATGCTCCCTCCCTCTCATTATGCCTACTCAACTTCTGCTTCCCCCCACCTCTCACCCTTTGCCTTCTTCCCCCCTTCCCTCCCACCTCCTCCTCCCCTCGCCCTCTCTCACCTTCCCCAAAGATGCTTTGCCTTCTTCTCTTCCACCCTTAACCCCCTCACCTTTTATCAAACCAGAACCTCCTTCTTCCCACCCCCGTCACCGTCGCCCTCTCTCACCTTTCCTACAGCTGACTTCTTTCCCTCCTTGGCCACAATCTCGTACCACTCAGGCTCCAGTGTGCGGTCTGCAGTGGGGGGGGTGGGGGGAAGAAGAGAACCAGGTTCAGGAGAGGGGTTGGAAAGCTGAAGGGGGTGGTAAAAAAATCTTCCCCTCCTTGGCCCCGGTCTCGTACTACTCAGGCTCCAGTGTGCGGTCTGCAGAGGGGAGGGTGGGGAGAAGAAGGGAAGGGACCCGGATCCGGCTCGGCAGAGCGGTTTGAGACGTCTCACAACTTGGCCACGATCTCGTACCACTCTCACGCTCCAGTGTGCGGTATTTTTACCCTCGCCCTCTCTCACTCTCTCTCACTCACTCCCTCCCTCCCTCACCAGGGCCAGTTTCCAGTAGGTCCTACACGCGCAGAGCAGAGGCTTGATGGACCAGCACCACCTTGCGCATGCCCATGGCCGTCTTACTCACTCACTCCTTCACTCACACTCTCTTTCTCACTCACCAGAGCCGGTTTCGAGAAGGTCAGACACGCACAGAGCAGCGCCTTGATGGACCCCACCACCTTGCAATCTTTTGGGCGCCTCAAAAATCGTTTCAAGAAGGTCAGACACGCGCAGTGCAGAGGCTTAATGGACCCCACCACCTTGCGCATGCCCATGGCCGTCTGTGCACTGTGCCTTGTGCTCTTCCTCCCTACTCTCTCACTTACTCCCTCACTCGCTCATTCCCTCCTCACGCACTCACCGGGGTCGGTTTCGAGTAAGTCCGCCACGCGCAGCGCCTTGATGGACCCCACCACCTTGCGCCCACGCGCCCACACACACGCCCATACGCCTTGTCGAACTCTACCCTTCACATACCCGGGTCGGTTTCGAGCAGGTCGCACACGCGCAGGGCCTTGATGGACCCCAGCACCTTGCGCATGCCCATGGCCGTCTTGCCCGCCACCGCCACGCGCACCTCCGCGGACTGCGGTGATACAGGGGGCGGGGAGGGCGGGCGGAAAGTGGGGAGGGTGGGGATGAAGGGGTGGGAGATGGGCGGAAAGGGAAAAAAAACAAAATAACACAAAAAAAGGGTGCGTGGAGGAGTGGAAGCCAGTGGAAATTGCGGAGGCGGAAGAAGGCCAGACGACTGTGGGGACGAATGGGGGATGGAGACGGGGAGATGAGCGCGGGGGGGGGGGGGGGGGGGGGGGGGGGGGGGGGGGGGAGAGGAGGGAGAATGACATGAGGGAGCTAGGGAGGAGTGAGACAGAGAGAAGGGGTGGTGGAAGGGAGGAACGGAGGAAGGGAAGGGGGGAAGAGCGAGAAGTGAACGAAAGAGTAAGCGAAAGCATTAACGAAATGAACGCGAGAGTAAACGAAAAGGGCGAAGGTTACCTTTTCATCCTTGACGTCGAACGAGTGGCCTTGGTCGAATGTGATCAAACCATCATCTGTCTTCTCCTGCACCTGAATTCACCAACCGAGACAGCAATGACCACGCTTTTATATTAAATTCGCGAATGTAGATAACGTGAACGAAAACAGACGCTGCCCAGGACATTGATAAGGACAACCAAGTGCGGGGGAAAAAAAAACACTTCAACCAAAATATAAATTTTCCGAACTCTTGAAAAATAGCTCTCTTGAAAGAACTGTAGAATGCAGCAAAACGGAGATTTTTATCACGGAAGCGTGCGGTGTCGCGCGGAGGGGAGCGGCGCGTGGCGTTACTACGTACTTCTGAAGTTCGAAAGTAACTGTCTTCCACGTCGACTTGAACCACGGGGTTACTCAGCGATCCCACGTCCTTTATAGCCACCACCTTTACAGTCACTCGACACGCCCGAAGGCCTCCCTGGGACATGAGACGGGATGCAGCGAAAATAGAAGAAGCACGTCAGATGAAACTAAAATCGTGATAATACATTGAGCTACTTGATCTAGTGATAACCCGAAACGTGCAACTATTTCAAATTCGCGTTTCCTTCTCGCAAGAAACGACATTGCCCGTCAAGTCGCATTGCGTCCAAGTCCCGCATTTTACGAAGTGAATGTCAAAAATAGGTCACGGAAGCAGTTGTACCCGAGAAGACATGGCCTGCGCTTATGATGAGGCTTGAATGGCTTGAATGGCTTAAATGGCGATTGAGTCGACGACGCTTAGTGAGGAACTCCTTAGTCGAGCCCTACTAACCAGCAGGCTGCTACCTCGAGTCGCTAAGAGCGGAAAAACAAGGTATGTTTGAGGTCCTGTGATGGCATCGAAAAGTACGCGTTCAGGAGATATACTACCAGCTGCTTTTCAATGCAGCTTCGACAGCTTCGGTGCAGACGAACTAAAAATGGAGTCAGCAGCTGAAGATAACTTAATCTTATGCAACCTAATCCTGACAGCAACAGAGCAATAGCACGGCCACTTCACTCGGGCGGACAAGGCCGCGTAATGCGCTCTTGTTTTTACGACGTACGTACGTGCTTGTGTGAAAGGACTGATGGGGGATCAGCTCGATATCAATCTGCCTCGAGTGTGTATGTAGGTGCTGATCGTTGACTTTAGCTGAGCTGACGAGACGAGTCGGTTGGCTCTCAGCTCGACTCACTCGTCTCGTCACGTCACGTCACATGCCTCCCCGTCATTCTCTAGGTGTGCAAGGTGGGTGCTAGTCTTCCAAACCAAACCACAAACACTCCTATATCCTACAACTGATGCGCGGTTGAGTCATGTCGCGGATGGGAACAAATAACAAGTGTTCGCGAAAAAATGTGGTGGAACACAATGAGAGGCAGAGTTGTACAATGTTGAAATATATTTTTCCCTTTTATTTCCTTTCAATGCGAGGGCAAAACGTTCAGCAGAACACATATCAGCGCCTTGGAAAGTTGGTGTATCCTAGCTTGTTGCGGCCGATTTGATGTTTTGCTCCTTGCTTGGTGGCCCACTGGGGCAGTGGACTGATGACGGGGACTCGCAGCTCTTGTCGACTTTCCCTTGTTCCTCACTGTTTCCCCACCCCGGTTTGATTCCTGGTTTTCCCTACGGTTCTGTGGGGAAACTCGTGGTGGATATCTATGCAGCGCGTTTTGATTCGGTGAATCTGGCTTTCTAGAGATACGGAATGATGCGGCTGCCTGCCACCACCTGGTTTGCAAGGAGAACCAGATGAGCGGATGCGGTACGCGCACTCTACTGTATTGATACCCAAACTGGTCCCATTGTTTGGATACGGTGCACCTCTCGTGACAAAGAGAGCCTGCATTTCTGTGCGTTTTGGTCCTTGTGCAAGTCCGAGGAAGCCGTGCTGTAACTTTCGACGTTCCATTCCGATTTCCTCAAATCAAACCAATTTACCCCGATGTTCCAGAAAGGCTGTATAGTGGATCAAGCCGACCCATCCCATCCAAGGATCGGGCTGGACTTCCCCAAATCAGCCCGATAGCTTGGGTCGACCTTGCCGAACCAATCCAGTCCAATCGGGTTGAGTTGACTACCGATCTAACGATATTCTGAATCTGGCACAGAGCATATTAGGAGTTCGCCAGCGTGCCTCAAATCCAGCGATGCGAGGTGTCTGAGTAACATATGGCTCAACGAAATGAGACTCTCGTCACTTTCATTGTAATAGTCCATGTTGCCACTGCTTCGATATTCGTTATTCTGCTCAACTCTCTTGAACCACTCATAACACGTACATTCCTTTTTCACCTCTTCTTTTGCTTTGGTCCATTCACCTATCAAAATAGTAGAGATCGTGAACTTAGCGTTTCCCACCCCTCGAGTTCTATCCCCATGCCAAGCATAGCGCGATGGCCCCCTCGGCCCAAACTTTCCGCCCTCTAGGCCGCGAGGCTAGTCAAACCCTAAGCCACCTAGGCAGGTTCCTCCTACACGACTCAGCCTCGTTTCCAGGTAAGTTTCCGCAATCGTTTCTCTTTTTCAATATTTTCGTTTTTACGTTGCTACACCGCACCTCGTCCTTACACCAGCAGGGAAGCCTCCCACTCCCCGACCCTCGCTACCATTTGTCACCTGCGGCTCAATCCTTCATCCAACGGACCAGTGGCGGGCCCCATCTCTCCCCCAACGCTCCACTTCAATCCCCCCCCCAGGTAAGTATCGCACTCCCCATTCCAACCTTCCCCGTGGCCCTTCGTGCTCAATTTATCTTTCATCTCCACCCCCTGCGCCAGCCAACCCCCACTTCTCACCCTCTTTCTTGCGCCCATCCAATCTCCCTCCCTCCCCCCCTCAGGAAGTTCGCTTGTCTCTCTTCCCAACCCTCGCCAACAGATCGGCCCCCACCTGCCAAGCTGTCCCGTTTTTCAGTGAACACGAAGGACTCCCACGGCCAACCCAAGGCACGGAACACAGCTAACCCTCAATCTGCTCCCGTTTTTCTGCTCGCCTTCATTCCTGCTTTCGTCCCGCCAACTTCCCGTGCACCCCGCCCCCTCCTCTCTCCGTATTTTCATGCCGTGCCTAGCGCCAGCACTCCCGGACTTCCTATCCCCCTTGGCATCCTTGCTGCATATGCTCCGTATTTCACTCACTTGCCACCTCCGGCAGAGCCCTTCACATGGCTCAAAAACTCGGCGCGCCGCCCAGGCCGCCAGTTTATTTCGCGCGCGAGCGCTTGGACCCTCGAACGGTCCCGGGTTTCGGGCTGCCAACTAGGCGCCCAACCCCGCAGTTGGCCCTCAATTCCCTCGCCACGGCGCCCCGTTTCCCGCAGCCGCCACGCTGCCCCAGCCTCTCTCGGTACTTCCCCCTCCAACCGCCCTCTCCCAACCCCCCCCCAACGTGCCCCCATCAATGCCTTGCCTCCATCGCCTCACGTCCGCTCGTTTCCGCTGCGTCTCTGCCCCCCCTTCGCCCAAGTGTCCCCTCACGGGCCTTCTCTCGCTCGTGACCTACTTAACTCCCCCAACTCCTCGCCAGTCCCTCATTACTTGTTTCCCAACCCCAAACAATCCTCTTTCCCACTTTGCATTATGTCTAAGCAAGCCTTCAACACCGACCTCACCATGACCGCCGCCGAAGAGGAAGCCTTCGCCGAGTCCGGCGAGGATCTCTTGGTGGAGGACCTCCCCGAAGGGCTAATCGACGAACTCACGTGCTCTCCCGACCATCCTGCGGCGAAAAAGCCTTGCACGGATGCTGGCGCAGGCCATACCAGCATTAACTCCCCCGCCACCTCCTCTGATTCGGCCCTGGCTCAGCCCCCGCGGTCTCCCATGCCCCTTGCTGCCGCTGCTCCCGCATCGCCCTCGCGCGGCCCCACGCCCACTCTGGCAGCAACTGCTGCCGCCCCCAACGCCCCGGCCCTCCACGCCGCTGCCTACGCATCAGTCGCCGCTGGCGTCAACCCGGCCCCCGCGCTGCCCGCCTCTCTTTTTGCCTCACCCGCGCCTGGCGGATCCCCTCGCAACCTCCGCCGCGCGCGCACTGCTACGGCCACCCCGATGCTCCTCCCCCTCCGTCGCCGCGTGGTAGTCACGCTCCTCCTCCCGGAAGCCGGTCTGGAATCGCACCGCACGGAAATCCTTGCCGGGATCAACGCGCAGCTGTGCGGCTTCATGTTCGATTCGGGCACCATCCCCCCCTTTGATCACACCGTCGGCGAACCCCTCCGTGTGGGACGTCGCGTGTACGGTCGCCTGCGTTTCTCTTGGCCGTCGCAGGAAGATGCCTCGGTCTTTCGCAAGCTTTTTCCCCTCATGCTGAAAGTCTCTAACTCCCGCCCCGTCATGCTGAAAGCTTTTTTTGATAAGTTTGAAGCTTTCACCGCAGCAAAGGCAGCCGGCGCCTGCACCCTGTCCATCCGAAACGTCCCCTTGGAGATCGATCCGGAGAAGATCCGCGCCTTTCTCCTCGGGACCACCGAGGAGGACGGTGCGCATTGGCTTGCGGACCTGACTGACTTTCACCGTGCTTCCGACCCCTACGAGAACACCTTTTTCACCCACCTCGCAGGGCTCCCGGTCGCCACCCCCGATGACCCGAACTTCGAAATTATCCCATCCGAAATTCTGCTGGAGGAGAACAAGCCAGCCATGCTGGTCAATTTCTCCTGCCACGTGTGCGCGCTGTGCGGTAACAACCACCGCGCACCGGACCACGAGGCCTTTGCTGCCCGCCGCCGAGGGCGCCTCACGAACAAGAACACGATCTCAATCGCTCAGCTGCAGCAGGCAAATGGTACGAAATCTGCTCCTCTTGTTCTTGCCGCAAACACCTTCCCTCCTTGCTGCCATTGCACGGCCTTAGCCTGCCTTCTTTATCCTCTCGTTTGCTCCCCTGCTGCCCCCCATCCACTCACCGCTTCCCACTCAGTCCACCCTCTCCCCTCCCCGCAACCCCCCTGTTCCCCTCCAACCCCCGCGCCCTCCCCCCGATGTCCCTCCCTCCCTAAGAGTACCCTTCCCCCACTGCCTTGCTGCATCCCCCCCCGCACGGCCGCCTGGAACCCTGCCATCTTCACATTCAATCTGCCCTTACCCACTCCCCTCGCTCCCTCCCTTCTCATCCCTCTCCCTGCGCCAGCTCCCCCCCCTCACCCTGTCTTCACGTCTGTCAGCCACCCCTCCCTTCCAGCGCCCCCTCCCCCGGCCCCCCATGTCGTGGGGCTCCCACTCAACCCCTTGCCCTCCCCACGCCGCCCCCCCCTCCCTTCCCCCTCCAACTCATGCAGGCAAGCCCCCCCCCCAGGACGCTCAGTCCTTGCCACCACTGTACCCTCCTCCGCTTCCCCTACAGTCAGGCCTCCGTCCACCCTCACGAATCCCCCTCTCTCCCCCACCCCCCACGCAATCTCCGCATCGTGGAACCTCTGCTTCCTCCATGCCCCCCCACCCCCTCCCCCTACC